GTGAGAGAGAGAGAGAGAGAGAGAGAGAGAGGGAATCATGTGAATGTGGGCACATAAAACAGGGCTTTGTATATGCTAGGTAAGTACTCTACACTGAACTATGCCCCTAGGTCTGACGTTCATATCTTGAAGATCTTGAAATGTATCAACTGCTAACTATTTGTCTGGTCATTCACCCACATCTGATAGCTGTAGTATCTGGTTCATTATCTTCCTGTTTTTAAATTTAAAATTTTTTAATTGAATTTTTATGTATTTCATACATAAAATCATCTTTATATACCCCCTTCCCCTTTGGCACCCTCCCATAAACCCCCCACTGGAGTCTATACATTCTGTCATTTGTGTTAAAGACTATCATGTAAAGTTAGTGTCCTCAGCGCAAGTTCATCCACTGGGATTTAGTCAGCCTATCTAGAGTCCCTCCCTTTAAGATCAGCTCTTCCTCACACAGCAGTAATCAGCTGCCAATGATTCTTCGACTAAGGTTGGGGCCTGCTGTCCATTTCCACAGTTCTGTGCTGGATGTCTGCTTGAGTTCATTATCTTCCTTAATACTCATTCTCATTTCCCTCTCATTGTTTTTGACTTCGATGATCCCTCAGGATCATCTAGTTGTAGACTGTTAGGTCCCCAGTCTCATCTCTAAGGATCTTTCTCTTTAACTCATCCTGAGTTCCCTACTGTAGACTTTGTTGTCTCCCCAAACTAGCCTTCCAGTCATCAAGTATCCTGACTCCTTTTGCCTCATGGAGCCCTCTAAGCCCCTGACTCTACTACTTTCCCACTATCTTCCCGTCTGAGTTTGCCCCCCTTTACCCAATGTCTACTCATGTTCTTGCACAATCATTACTCTCATGTACATGTCCTATAAACCCTCTTCCTGCTTTCTGAGGAACTATCCATCCATTTGAGTCCTTGCAATCAACTGTTTATTCCAAGTATATGAGAGAGAGAGATTACAAGAGTGAGAGAGAGAGAGAAATCAGAGATAGAGAGAAGAGAGAGAAAGAGAGAGAAAGGAGAGAGAGAGAAAGGAGGGAGGGAGGGAGAGAGAGAGAGAGAGAGAAATCCACAATGATACTAACTGGTGACACTAAACCAATGCTTCTTTTTTTTTAAAAAAAAAATTAGAGAATACTTTATTAGTTTCTATAATCAAACCCACATAGATAAGATCTTACATATTAAATACAGTGTGTTACCCCTGTACAAATGGAAAAAAATGTTTAATGTTTCTAAACCAATATGGCTGTTAATTTCTGTACAATGCCAACTCAACACAGAAAACTAGGATACTTTTTTACAAAGTTGACAGCAAGCTAAAGTTTTCAAAAAATTCAAATTATATATATTCATATAAAAAGACCAATAAAAGCAGTATGTGATGCATCAACAGCAGCAAGAGCTTTTCCAGGTTCTGCAGTCATGTGAACATGGAGACACTCAGCATACTCTATTAAAAAAATAAAGTAAAAAACAAAATCCCAGAAAAAGCACAGTTCTGTTACTGTTATGGTGCCCTGGCACCATTTTTTTTTTAAAATTAGCTTTTCAATCATTATCTGGAAAGAAAACATTGAGTAACATCATAAAACTGAGTAACATCATTAAAAAAAGCTCTGATAAAGCATGGTTTCTACTACAACCAGTGCTTCTTAATTGGGACCAATTTTGAATGTCCTCCTCAGGACATTTAGCAATTGTCTGGAGACATTTTCAATTACTACCCTGGGGTGTGGCAGAGGAGTCTACTGATACCTAATTTCCACTAGTATCAATAGATGTCGGGAACACTTCCAAATATACTATAGTACACTAGCAACAAAGACTTTCTGACTCCAAGTGTCAATATTGCAAAGGTAAGAAATCCTTCTTTTATCTGGTGGCATAAGCCTGTAATCCCAGCAGCAGAGAGGCAAGAGGGTTGTTGCAAATTTGAGGCCATCCTAGTCTACATAGCGAGTTCCAGGTCAGCCAAGGGGTACATCTTGAGATCCTGTCTCAAAGCAACACACAATTCCAGTACTTGGGAAACTGAAGCAAGATGATCATGAGTTCCAGACCAGCCTGGCCTGCATAGCAAGACCCTGACTCCGAAAACAAACTAAGACAAAAATCCTGCTTTAAATGAATTACTAATAAGTTCCAAAGGGGCAACTGACACAGGGCCTTTGCACTTGCTGTCCTTTCTGCCTATAACATGGTCTCCTCATGACTGACTCATTATTTAGCAATCACCTCAGAAAGTCTCCATGATCTCACTTAGGACTGGACCCAGCCTTACACATTACCCTGTTTCATTGCCTTCAAAACATGTACTATTTTATGGATTTATTGCCTGCTTCCTCCTAGAAAATAAGTCAGACAAGCACTGTGTCCTTATCTGTCATGTCTACCATTCTATCCCTAGGGTTAATTATAGTCCATGGCACATTGTAGGCACACAGAAAATATTTGTGCCTCAGTAGATGAAACTATTTGGAATTCATTCATTCGTAATAAAAATCTAGACACCCCTTTACTTTGTAGTACTACACAGAAATTGGTATTCAATCAATAAGTACACAAAAATAGTTTCAGACTATGATAAGCACTGAGCAGATGATCTGACTCAGTGTGGGTAGGGCAGTCACTTCTTAAAAGTGATAGCTGAGGGGACAGGTGAAGGGTGAGTTGGTTGGCTGGGATGAGGAAGGTGGGTGGGGGTACATGGATTAGAGCATCCAAGTAGAGAACAGAGTGTGGAAAGGAGATAGGTGGCACAGAGCATGTGTAGGGTGTTTGGGGAGCAGAGACAAGGTCAACATTGCTGAGGCACAGAGAGGGGAAAGCCAGGAGACAAGAGTGCCATTTAGGGCTGGAGATGTAGCTTAGTGGCAGAGAACTTGTAAGAAATCCTGGGTTCAATCCTTAGCACTGGAGAAAAAAATGAAAAAGTACCACCCAGTGATTCTTAAAAAGGAATGACAAGATCTAGGTCTATAGAAAGAGAGCATTCTGGAGAGTGAATTTAGGAAAGGGGGAAACAGGAGATTGGTTTGGGCACAGCTGTAGTGTCCAGGTAACAGATGGTAGCTTGGCATATGGTGGTGGCAGTGACCTTGGAGAGATTCTGTAATACTTTATGAGATAAGAAACATGAACTTTTAGAGCTGGAAGGCATCCCCTTCCCCAAAGGCTGACTTCAAACTGTCTATTCTTCTGCCTTGGTCTCCCAGGTACATGCATCAACCACATCCAATGAGGAGACACCTTAAAAATAATCTCAGTTGGGCATGATAGCTCACATCTCTAATTCCAGCACTCAAGAGGCTAAGGCAAGAGGACTGCCCTGAGTTTGAAGCCAGCCTGGGCTCCATAATAAATTCCAGGCCAGCTTTGGCTACAAAGTGAAACCCTGTCTCAACCTCCCTCCAAAAAAAAATCTCACCACTAATCAAAAAGGTAAACAAACAAAAAAACCCCAACAACCCCCCCCAAAAAACAAAAAAAACCCCACAAATAATAGAGCTCATGAACGTCTGCATTTTCTACAAAAGCAGATTAATTAGCTGAACAAGAAAGGCCTTTAAATATATTTACTGAATAAATGAAGGGAAGATTTATAGCGATGCTTGAGAGGGAGGAACACAATGAAGAAGCTGATATAAAAAGGAAGAAAGAAAATGAATAAGAAAGAGCCAGAGTAAGATAGAGGTGAGAAGGTCTGACAGGTGTACGGAGGTTGGCGGAGAGGTAGACTGGGAGGAACAGCAGGAAGAGGGTTAGGGGAGGCAGTGATGGACACATAGGAAGAGAGATTGTGCTGCTGGGCTCCAAGAGGCAGTAAGGTACAAGGAGAGACTAAAAGGGTGGGGATGGGAGATGGGGATAAAAAGGTACAAAGGACAGGAGAGGAGAAAAGATGGAAAGGAGGAGGAGAAACTTGGAAGATGTGTTGGGAGGAAGGATAGGGTAAAAGTTTGGGGAGAGAGGGAATGTGAGGGTGGGGCAGGGTTCTAAGGGAGAATCAAAGGCCACCTTGGAGAGCAAGATGCTAGGGAGTCTCTGGTTGGGAGGGGATGGGAGAGAACACAGAAATAGGCTCCAGGAGGCTCAGAATGAGGGAAAGGGAAAAGTGTGGCTGGGGGAGGAGGTGGGGAAAGTGGAGGGTAGGTTTAAAAAGACATCCAGAGAGGGGAATGTTGGGTGTGGTGGACTCTGACCTAGGTCTTACCCTATTCTCCATCCTTGGAAGGCTCTCCTAGTGTTTTCTTCTTTCAGCTAGATGGAGCCTTGCTTGATGTTGGAGAAAAGAGAATCAGGCATTAAGTTGTCATGGGTGGGTACCTCAGGCCAGGAAGGTTGGGTTGTTGAAGGGACAGGCCGGTAAGTCAGCAGTCTTTTGGAGGGCCGACCTGAAAGGCGCTAGCAGTGAAAACGAGAGTCGCTAGGCTGTTCTAGAAGCAGAAATTCCAAGACCGATGCAACAGGGGTGATTTTACCAGATTGGGTCAGGGACCCTGAAGGTGGGATAAGCCAGGGAAGGAGACTGAAGAAGAAAGAAGAGAGAAGTGAAAAGCAGGTTAGACCTATAGCACCAGCCGAAACCCTTGGGGAAAGGGAGGCCACAGGCCTTTCCAGGGGCGTCCGTGAGGCGGGGCTCCGCAGTGTCCCAGGCGCACCTGCAGGAAGAAGAAGGGAAGAGGCAGCCTAGGCCTGGAGGGCAGTCCAGGGAGTCCAGACTCCAGGGAGTCCAGACTGCGGGGGCTGGCTAGGAGCTGGGACTTCTGAGAAGCCGGCGCCTCTTTCCCATTAGCAGTTAAAGTCAAGCAAATGAAGGGGCGTGATCCCGGTGCTCAGGCTTCTTCCTCTGCACCTGGACGAGGAGGGGTGGGGGCCAGGACTTCCGGTTCAGGTGAGTGTCCCTTCAGTGACGTCAGGTCACCCTCGACTGGCCCTCCGGTACCGCCCCAGCTCCCGCGCGCTCGGTGGCCTAGGGGACGCGCCCCCGACGCCCTACTTATACTCAGGTGTGCCGCACCTGTTCGCCTGCACCTGCAGACTCGCCAGCTCTCCCGCGCCCAGCAGCCTCGGGCCTACGGGCCCGGAAACTTTCTGGGGGCCACGCCCAAACGGACCCTTTGGGAACTCCTGGCCTCCGGGGGCTCCTTTTGTCTGGAACCTGTCCTTCGGGCGAAGCCGGTTCCCTCTGCCGGGACTATCGCTCCATCGGAGGGGTCGGCCTGTGCTCACTTCTGTTGTCAAGATTTGCAGTGACCTGGCTAAGAGCACCTTTGTCTCGGACTGACCTAAACCTCCATTCAGATTTTCTGGTGGGGCTGCTCCCCAGATTCTGTTTTACTGTAGAGTCCCATCTCTTCTGAGACGGAAATGGCCAATTCGGGCCTGCAGTTGCTGGGCTTCTCCATGGCTATGCTGGGCTGGGTGGGCCTGATAGTGAGCACCGCCATCCCGCAGTGGCAGATGAGCTCGTACGCGGGCGACAACATCATCACAGCCCAGGCCATGTACAAGGGGCTGTGGATGGAGTGCGTCACGCAGAGCACTGGCTTGATGAGCTGCAAAATGTACGACTCCGTGCTCGCCCTGCCGGGTAAGGCCGCGGGACTGACGGGGCGGACTTGCCCCGGGTGGAGGTGGCGGGCCGGGTGAGGGAGGGCCGGCGGCTCCAGCCTGGTGCCCTGGGTTGCAGGGAGCAGGAGGAAGTGGACGCGCGGGTGCGCTCCGCAGGGCCGAGAAACCGGCCAGGACGCAGGCGACCGCACGTGGGCCCCCGCCCCTCTCCCTGGGCCTGAGAAGGGACCTGCACCCGGCATCCCGACCCCCTCCTGGGCCGTCGGTGGCCCTCATCTTCTGCTGCTTTCCCGGAGACAAAAGGGGTTGCGGGGTGGAGTGCGGCCGCTTGTTAGACGTGGGCCGATGGCTGTGGCCGCTAATCTTATCGTCCGATTAGCCGAAGCCACAAACCCGGTGGCCTCGATAGCGGTGCCCGAGCTGGGCCACGCGCCGGCCAGCGCAGCCAGATCCAGGGCTCTGGCCGCCACCTTCCCTCCTCTCTCGCCCCTTCTCCGTTCCCCCTACCCGGAGCAGTTTCATCGAAACCCTGGCGCCCCGGGCGGGTTCTCGAGCACAGGGCGGGGCGCCGAGCAGGAAGGCGGGGTGGGGTGGGGGGGTGCGCCTCGGCGGAACCCAGCAGGCAGACAGCGGTCAGGGGTTAGTGGGCGCGGCCCGCGGCTCTAAGGCCCGCGCCATCCAAAGGCTGCCTGCAATTTCCTGAAAATGACGCCGTCCTTCCTCCTTCGCAGCGTCTACACAGGCCACTCGAGCCCTAATGGTGGTATCCTTGGTACTGGGCTTTTTGGCCATGTTTGTGGCTACGATGGGCATGAAGTGCACTCGCTGTGGGGGAGATGACAAAGTGAAGAAGGCCCGTATAGCCATGGCTGGAGGCATCGTTTTCATAGTAGCAGGTGAGCCACGAAGTCAAGGTGGGATCAAAAGCTGGCTCTTCCATCCAGGAAGATGGTCAAGGTCCTGGCTTGTATGCTCAATAGAATTCTTATTCTCTTTCTAGGTCTGGCTGCCTTGGTAGCATGCTCCTGGATTGGTCATCAGATTGTCACAGACTTTTATAACGCTCTGATCCCCATGAATATTAAGTAAGTTTCCTGTCTTCTAAGTAGATAGGTGTGGGGACTTGGGACAGGAAGGAGGGCATCGGGTTCTGACTCCAATCCTTTGTCTCCACAGGTATGAATTTGGTCCTGCCATCTTCATTGGCTGGGCAGGGTCTGCTCTGGTTCTCCTGGGTGGTGCACTGCTCTCTTGCTCTTGTCCTGGTAGTGAAAGCAATGCTGCCTACCGAGCACCCCGTTCCTACCCCAAGTCGAATTCTGCCAAGGAGTATGTGTGAGCTAGGGCTCAGCCTGTGGGCAAGGTGTGGGACAAAGGCCTCCTGGTCAATTAACTACATCCCTGAACATCATGTACAATTCTCTGGGGGGGGGGGGTAACTGGGTGGGGCAGGCGAAATGTGGGGAGGGTGTGCTTTTTGTACAGTAATAAAAACTAAGTTTTGGAAGGTAGGTTTCTTTTTCTAGCCCTCTTGCCTTGTCCCTACTCAGATCTTTGCCAGGGAATTGGAACTAAAGAGTGTCTTAGTTCAAACACCATAGTGTACCTGTCCTATTTTATTGTTATTCAGGTCCAATGCCTGAACTCTGGCCTCTAGGACTCAGGTTCTTAGATTCCCTTATCTATCCCTGCTCCCCAACCCCTTAACATTTTTTTTCAGGGTTAGAGATGGCTCAGTGGTTAAGAACACCAGCGGCCCTTGCAGAGGACCTGGGTTTGATTCCAGCACCCACATGGCCAGTAACAACTATCTGTAACTCCAGTTCCAGGGGAATCCAACACTCTCTTCTGACCTCCTCCGGTACTGCACGACTAGGATGCACTTAACACACATGCAGGCAATACACTCATACACATCAAAAAAAAAAAAATTTCCCCCACCCATTGATTATTCTTCTGTTTGCCTGTCTGTGGACTTGGTTCCTTCCTTTTCCCTTCATATGAGTTCCTGGAATCAAACACAAGTCATCATCAGGCTTGTGATACGAGAGCTTTTACCTGCTGAGCAACCTTGCAGCCCCCACTGTCCACCCTTGTTTAAACAACACTCCATTTTTGTTTAAAAAGTAGCAACCGATGAGCTTTTAAAACAATAATTAGGGGCTGGAGAGATGGCTCAGTGGTTAAAAGCACTGACTGCTCTTGCAGAGGACCTGGGTTCAATTCCCAGCCCCCACATGGTGGCTACAAACCGTCCTTAACTCCAGTTCCAGGGGAATCCGAAGCCCTCTTCAGACCTCCGTGGCATTGTACAACATGGGTGCACTCACATAAATGCAGGCAATACACTCATATACGTAAAATAAAAAATAAGCCAGGCGTGGTGGTGCATGCCTTTAATCCCAGCACTCAGGAGGCAGAGGCAGGCGGATCTCTGTGAGTTCAAGGCCAGCCTGATCTACATAGTGAGTTCCAGGCCAGCTGGGGCTACTGGGAGACCCTGCCTCAAAAAAAGACCCCCCCCCAAAAAAAAAATTAAAAAAAAATAAAAAAACAATAATAATTTAAAAAGTATTTTATTAGAAACAGGTATGGGATGAGGGGAATTTCCTATTTGCTTGCTGTACACTATGCCCTCACCCCACTTTTGCCCTGATCAGGGCTCTATAGACAAAGCAACAGGGTGGGGGGTGGGGACAAGTAAAGTCAGTGCAAATACCACTATGATTCTGAGCCCAGTGTCTTCCCCTCCCCTTTGTCTAGTCAAATCTGGTCAGTCAAATATCTAGGTCATCATCTGGGTCTTCTTGGTCCACATCATAAGCATCTGGTTCATAGAAGATGTGGCTCTTCTGGCCTGGTACAGGGTATAGCAGAGCCTGCTGTCTGAGGAAGGAAGAATTGATGCTGAGGAAGGTGGGTGATAGGTCAGGTCTGGACAGTCACCCCCTTACTAGTGGCCTTCACTCAGGTAACACATCCTACAAGGCCTTTGTGTCATTTTTTTGGTCTAAGTTCCTTTCTCTAAGTTCTATGAGTAATTAAAGATGAAGTACCACTTAGCCCTGGAACAGGTTCTGTCTTGTACTGCTCTAACAAAGCCCTAAGCTTGAGGGCAGGGATTTTGTAGTCTTGATTCACCCACCCAACACACTGGGAACACAGTAACAGGCATCTACTGAGCCCTTGTGAACCAGCCTTTGCCACACCCATATACCAGTTCTAGCACTGCTGCCTGGAGAAAAGGGCCACCTCTCCAGAGTCTGGTCTGGCTCAGCCAGGGCCCAGATTACTCTAGGAAAAATGAGAGCCAAGACCTATGGCTGTAATGGAGAGAAAAGTCAGAAAGGTTCTCTGTCATTGTGGGAAGTACAGGTGGGTAAGGAACCACTCCCTAGACTTGTCTTTCATGGTGGACTTCAGCCCCTATAAAGTCTTGAAAGGTTAATCAATAACCTGTCATCCCACCTTTCTGTGACCCAGATGCTGGGCACCACTCAGGGATCCAAGTTCTTAAGTCCCATTCTTACTTTTCAGAGCTGAACTGGAAAGGCAGAGTCAGGCTGTCTCTGGCTTCTCTTTCTTTCTTGGACAAGTGAAGATTAAATGTCAAATGAGCTGTGGGGTCCACCTGTAGGTACAAATACTGCTGCCATTCAGCCCCATCCTGAAATTCCAAAATCCCCTACCCCTAACCTCTGTAGTTTTTTCCTTTAACCCTAAGCTCACCCCCTTGTTTTGGCCTTGGGACTTTTAGATACCTGGGTTGTTTGAGGATCTAGGTGTGGCTGGGACTGGAGGGGAGACTCCTTATGGAGATCCAGGCTGAAGTCAGGAAGGATGGAGAACCACCAAGTCTGGGAAAGAGAGTTAAAAAATTTTTTTTCTCTCACTTTATTAAACAAAGAGTGAATTCAGGACCTTATTTCCTTCCCCCAATAACCATTCTACTCTTTTAAATTTTTTGTTCCTAATTTCTAGAAGATAGTATCCTTCACTGATTTAAGTTCATGGTCTGTTGAGTCAAACAACCCCGAGTTCAAATACGGGTATTTCACTTGGCACTTAAGTTTTATTACTTGGGTAAGTGACTTAAATTTAAACATCCCTCGATTCATTTCCCAGTTTGAAACAATCACTTCACAGGGTAGCTGTGAAGGTTAAATGAGGTAAATGATAGAAAACATAGGAAAAGGACTGGTGATATAGCTCAATGGTAGTATGTGAGCTTAGCATCTTTGTAAATCTAGGTTTGATCCCCAGCACCACAAAAATAAAACACAGGAGTACTCAATCACATCAACTTTTTGTTTTTCTGATACAGGATCTCTTATTGCCCAAACTGACCTTGAACTTACTAGGTAGCCTTTAACCTGATCCTCATGCCTCTACCTCCCAAGTGTGCATCAGCTTTTATTGCCCTTCCCATCATGCTGCCCTTTTTTTCTGATCCCAATCTCCAGTCTTCTCTGTTGCCTCTCCTGACCTGAAGAGTTGCATGCTGCTGGGGCCTTCTATAGAGGATGGAGGCTGAAGCCTGGCCCATTTTACCACTCAGGGTCACCTCCGTGTGAGCAAGGGATCTCAGTGCTCCCATGGGGCCGGGACCATGAAGCTCTTCATGTAGTAGGCCCAACACCCGTACCTGCTCTACCTGGGAGTTGTCACCTGGAGAGGGACAAGAAATGTGGAGCATGAAGGACAGTAGGCAGCATTAGGTGAAGGTCTTGGAGTAAATGGTGAAGAGAAGGAAGGAAAGGCTCACATTCTACAACTCTGCCACATTGTGACATACCTTGCTACACTGCTAATACATTTTCTTATTCCCATTCAAATTGGATCAGGACACCACTCTGACTTCAGGTTTTTAGCATGATACGAACACTTTCAGGATGTGTCTACCAACGTTCCAGTCTCATTTCCTACTGAACTACTTATATGTTGTAGAATTTGCCAAGATGTCAGGCAGCTTCTTCCTCCCTTTTTGGGAGCATTAACCATGTCACACTGCACTAAACACATTTATGTTTTTCACATTTATTGTGTGTGTGTGTGTGTGTGTGTGTGTGTGTGTGCATGTTCCATGGTATGCTTCTCTTCTTCCAGTATGTGGGATTTGGGGATCAAACTAAGGTCATCAGACTTGGCAGCAAGGGTCTTTATCCAATTAGCCATTTCATTGGCCCACTTTGGCACATTTAAATTCTTACAAAGGTCAGCATTTTTATATTTTTAGATTAAATTACATGGCAATTTCAACTGGCTCACCCTAAAGCTGTCATACACCCCCATTTTTTATTTGAGACAAAGTCTTATGTGTTCAGGCTGATCTTAAACTATGTAGGGAATGATGACCTTGACTTCATTTTCCTCTACTGCCCCAGTGCAAGTATTAAAAGCATTTGCCACCACACCTGGCTAATGGTGGTGTTCAACTTACCATCCTCCTGTCTCTGCCTCCAGAGTATTGTGATTACAAGCAAGTCTGGGATCACAGAGTTGGAGATCAAACACCTAATGCAAAGCAGGGAGTATCTGACAGGAAAACCTATTCTAGTGAGCTGGGTGTGGTGGTACAAGCCTTTAATCCCAGCACTGAGGAGGCAGAGGCAGGAAGATCTCTGTGAGATAGAGGCCAGCTTGGTCTACCTAGAATTCCAGGCCAGCTGTGGCTACAGGGAGACCGGGTCTCAAAAAGACCAAACAAACAAAAAAATCTATTTCAGTATCCAGAGATTACTTCAGGGCTAGTCCTAATGTTCCTATCTGGGCCACATTTTGCCTGCCTGCCTCATAAATTATTTTCTTAGGGTACTCTGTGCATGTCTTTAAATCAAAAGGATCCCCATATCACAGCCCTTGTCAGACTATCTTGTAACTGCCTTATTTTATTTTATTTTGGGGAGAAAGGATCTCATGTACTCCAAGCTAGGCTGGATCTCGTTATGTAACTGAGGATGATCCTGAACTCCTGATCCTCCATCACCAAAGTGCTAGGATTTCAGGTGTGCACCACCACATCTAGTTTATGTGGTGCTAAGGATTGAACCTAGGGCTTTCATGAATGCTAAGCAGGCATTCTACCACCTGAGTTACATCCTCAGGCCCATTTACTTCTTTCTATCTTTTATGAGACTGAGCTGTGGAAAGGCAATGACTCAACTATAAGGCTAGTCTTGTGCTCTTAACCACTGAGCCATCTCTCCAGCCCCAAGTCTTTATTTTTCTATTATTTAAAATTGCACATGACATTGCATTGCATTGTGCTTAATATTTGTTAAAGGACTGAGGGCTGGGGATATAGCTCAGTTATTAGAGTACCTGCCTAGCACACAATAAACTCTGGGGTCTATCTTATACCACATAAACTATGTGTGGTTGTACAGGACTCTAATCTCAGCATTTGGGAGTGAAGGCAGGAAGATTAGAAGTTCAAGGTCATCCTTCACTACATACCTACTACAGGTCAGCCTTGATTTTACATTCATCAGGGATATATGAGATCCTGTTTGTGTGTTTTTTTTTTTTTTGGTTGGTTGGTTGGTTGGTTGGTTTGTCTTTTGGTCTTTTTGAGACAGGGTCTCCCTGTAGCCCCAGCTGTCCTGGAACTCACTATGTAGACCAGGCTTGCCTTGAATGCACAGAGATTTGCCTGCCTTTGCCTCCTCAGTGCTGGGACTAAGGGTGTGTGCCACTAGGCCCAGCATGAGACCCTGTTTGAGAAAAAAAAAGTGAGAACTAAAAATCAAAATTCAGAGTAGGGCAGAGTGGTGTGCACATGCACGTGAGCACCCCCCCACCAAATACATAAACCTTAAAGATAGTAACAAAAAAAATCCCAACAACCAGTACCCCACCCCTTCAACTTCCCAGAAGGTTAAGGATATGGAGGAATGTCTAAATGGAGATCCCTGATGTCTCTTGTTAGGATGGAAAGGAAAAGGGTGGAATTCTTTGGCAGGAGGAGACATATAAGGCCTAGCAACAATGGAGGGGCCTCACCTGGGTAGATGTTTGGCTGGCTCAGAGCATGTAGGGTCTGGCAGAGTGTAATGCAGGGAAGACGAAGCAACAGCCAGCTGAGTGAATCAAGAGCAACTGTGACAGGACCAGGACCTGTCCTCCTGCACATGGCTCTTAAGATTCCCAGAGGTCCTCCAGGGAAAGCCTTCCCAGTTTTTGACCAGTTAAGAGGATCTCTGAAGATGTCATGGTAAACCAGTCTAAAATGGGAAAACAGGAGACATAATATTATGATATCAAACTTCTTCGATTTCTGGATTCTTGTTTTCTCAATTTTACCAATACCCTAAATATTATTACTAGGTTTTTAATTAATTAAAAAAATTTTTGAGGTAGGGTTTCCCTGAAACCAGCTGGCCTGGAACTCACTATGTAGACCAAGCTAGCCTCTACCTCACAGAGAGCCACCTGCCTCTCCCTCCCAAGTGGTGGGATTAAAGGTATGTGCCACCATGCTTGGCTTTATTTTGTTTTTGAGATAGGGTCTGTGCAATCCCTGGCTGGCCTGGGATTCACTATGTAGACTAGGTTGGTGTTGAACTCAGAGATCCACCTGTCTCTGCCTCTTGACTGCTGGAACTAAAGGTGTGTATCACCATGCCAGGTCTGAAAGCTAATTACTGAAAGGATACAGTGACTGACAGCACAGACTTTGGTGTCTCATAGCTTAAGTTCTAGTTTGTTTCTCCATTGCTGTGACAAAATACTCTGACCAATACCAACTTGGGCAGGAAAGGGTTTATTAGGCTTACATCTCCCAGGTCACAGTTCATCTGGGAGCCCAAGGTAGGAACTCAGGGCAGGAACCTGGAGGCAGGAGCTGGAGCACAGTCCATGGAGGAACACTGCTTACTGGCTTGCTCCCCTTGCCCCTGCTCAGCCTGCTTTCTTTTCTTTTCTTTTTTTTTTTTTTTAAACTTTGGAAAAAGAAAAAAAAAACCCTGCCAGGTGTGGTGGTGCACGCCTTTAATCCTAGCACTTGGGAGGCAGAGGCAGGTGGATCTTTGTGAACTGAGGCCAGCCTGGTCTACATAGGGAATTTCAGGCCAAGCAGGCCTACGTAGCAAGGCCCTGTCTCAAAAAAAAAAAAAAAAAAAAACCCCAAAATAACAAAAAGCTAATCATGAATGTGTCGTGCAATGCCCTCGTAGGTCAGAGAGGCTGTCAGATCCCCTGGGACTGGAGTTACTGACGGTTGTTAGCTGCCATGTGGGTGCTGGGATTCGAACCCACGTCTTCTGCAAGAATAACCAGTGTTCTTAACCACTGAGCCATCTCTCCAGCCCCACAGCCTGCTTTCTTATGCAACAAAGGCCCACCTGCCCAGGGGTGGCACTACCCACAGTGGGTTGGCCCTCCCACATCACTCAACAATCAAGAAGATGCCCCACAGACATGGCCACAGGCCAGTCCTATGGAAGCAATTCCCCAATTGAGGTCAACCCAGGTGTGTCAAGGTGACACTAAAGCTATCCAGCACAAGTTCCAAGCCTGGCTCTGGTACTTGCCCAAGGTCATTCAACTGGGAATTCAAACTCAGAGGACCAGAGTTTGGTTCACAGCAAGCTCTCAACTGCCTGTAACTCCAGCTCCAGGGGAGCCAATGACCTTTTCTCACCTCCGCCTATACACATATGCCACCCTCCACACATACACACAACTAAAATAAAAATGAACCTGGAAGAAAAGTCTCTCCTTCTGTACTGACACTGAATACACAAGGCTTGTCATCTCTCTTACCATTGTTTTTTAACATTTACTAGGAAACAAGCCTGTCTCATTCACTAGTCTACCTCTATTGCCTTATCACAGCTCCTGGTTTTTAGTGCTCCATATATATATGGAGTTAGTGCTGATGCTAGCCTGGGATCTAATTCAAAAAGCTAGAGCTTGTTTATCTTAACCATCCAGGAGGGTCTCTAATGCTAAGATGTGCTGCCTGCCTTTTACTTCTAGCACTCTCTTCGAGGGCCTCTGCTTTGGATTGCCCAAGATGTCACCACCCCTCATCATTCCCTCTGGCTACTTCTCAACACCTTAAAGAGATATATAGCCATTATTTCAATTATTATTATTTCTGGAGGGTCTCACTTTGTAGCCCAGGTTGGCCTCAAACTAGGTAGCCAAGACTGGGATCACAGGTGTATGTCAGCACACCCGGTTTATGTGGTACTGGGATCAAACCCAGGGGTTTGTGCATGGCAGGGAAGTACGCTTCTACCACTGAGCCATGTCTCCAGCCCCTAAAGCAAATTTATGATCTTTTAAAGATATTTTATTTTTATTTTTTTGGTCTTTTTGAGACAGGGTCTCCCTGTAGCCCCAGCTAGGCTGGAACTTGATATGTAAACCAGGCTGACCTCAAACTCACTAAGATCCACCTGCCTCTGCCTCCCAAGTGCTGGGATTAAAGGCATGTGCCACCACACCCAGCCTAACATATTTTGTCTTCAATTATGTGTAAATGTGTGTGTCTGTGTGGTTATGTGCACCTGAATACAGGTGCTTAAGAAGCCAGGATAGGGCATTGGATCCTCTGGGGTTGGATTAAAAGTGGTTGTGAGCTACCCTACATGGGTGCTAGAAATCCGACTTGGTTCTACAAGAGCAACATATACCCTTAACTGCTGAGCCATCTCTCCAGCTTCTGTGATTTGTTTTTTAATGGTATGGGGAAGAAACCTAGGGCTTTGAGCACACGTGGTAAGTGCTCTACCACTGAGCTATATCAATCCTCTCTTTGTAACCCATTTTATATAACTATATACCCATGGTTACATAAAAATTTCTCAGATAAAGAGGGACCACGGGTAAAAAAAGATTAAGAAGCCTTGTTATTTTATTTTATTTTATTTTTTTGAGACAGGGTCTCACTATAGCCCCAGCTGGCCTGGAACTCACTATGTAGACCATGCTGGCCTTGAACTCATAGAGATCTGCCTGCCTCTGCTTCCCAACTGCTGGGATTAAAGGCGTGCACCACCACGCTCAGCCAAGCCCTGGTATTTTAAGAAGCCTAAACTGGGTTGGAGAGTTGACTCAGTGGTTAAGAGCGCTGACTGCTCTTGTAGAGGACCCAGGTTCAATTCCCAGCACCCACATGACAGCTAACAACTGTCTGTAACTCCAGTTCTAGGGGAACACTCACTTCTGACCTCCTTGGGAAATGCATAACATGGGTGCACATGCAGGCAAGACATTCATACACACATTAAAAAAAAAAAAAAGAAGTCTAAGCTATTTTAAAGAAACCTGAAGGTCATTTTTTGTTGTTTTTTTGAGACAGGGTCTCCTTGTAGCCCCAAATGACCTAGAACCTACAATGTAGACAAGGCTGGCCTCAATCTCAGAATGCTGGATTTAAAGATGTGTGCTACCATGCCCCACCCAAAAGTCAATTTTGCTAAAAACAGTAACTCTTCACTTGGTTCTACACATAACTAAAATGGAATAAATGGCTTGGCAATCTGTCTTCACACTGTCATTTCCTTTGCTGCCTCAACCTTGAAGTCAGACTCCACTCAGCTCTGCATGTAGACATGCTGTTCACTCAAAAATCACTTTGTCTTTTTAGTATATAATGTTGAGAGCAGCCTGAGGGTAGGATCACCTAAATAGCTCTGTGGTGATTTCTGTGATTTTTTTTTTTTGGAGACAGGGTCTCCCTGTTAGCCCCAACTGACCTGGAACTCACTATGTAGACCAAGATGGCCTTTTCTTACAGAGATCTTTCTGTCTCTGCCTCCAGAGTGCTGGGATTAAAGGCATGTACCACCACACCTGGCTAGTTTCTTTTTTTTAAAAAAATTTATTATCGGGGCTGGAGAGATGTTTCAGAGGTTGAGAGCACTGACTGCTCTTGCAGAGGACCAGGGTTCGATTCCCAGCTACGAACTGTCCTTAACCTCAGTTCCAGGGGAATCCAAAAATAATAAATAATAAAATATTATTTTATGTGTACAAGTGTATTGTCTGCATGTATGTGAGTGCACCCATGTCGTGCAATGCAGTGGAGGTCAGAAGAGGGTGTCAGATTCCTCTGGTACTGGAATTAAGGATGGTTTGTAGCCATCATGTGGGTGCTGGGAATTGAACCCAGGTCCTCTGTAAGAGCAGTCAGTGCTCTCAACCGCTGAGCCATCTCTCCAGCCTCATAAATAAAATATTTTCCTTTAGCTCCAGCTGGCTTGGAACTCACTATGCAGAGCAGGCTGACCTTGAATTCAGAGATCCGCATGCCTTTTCCTCCCCTTATTTATTATTTCTATTTTATGTGTATGAGTGTATTACCTGCATGTATGTAAGTGCACCCATGACGTGCAATGCCCTTCCCAATGAAGGTCAGAAAAGGGCATTGGATACCCTGGAACTGGAGTTATGGTCGACTGTTGCGCCACGTAGGGGCTGGGAATCGAACCCGGGTCCTCTGCAAGAGCAGTCAGTGTGCTTAACTGCTGAACCATCTCTCCAGCCTCCTTATTATTTACTTTTAATAAAGTTTGGTGCCTGCTGTGCCCGAGATTCTTTTTGCCTTTGAATTCTGTAATTGGCAGAAAAATGAACCTGAACAAGACCCCTAATCGGTAACATGAGGTTATGTGCTTCCTGCAGTAAGGAAGCCCCTGAGCAACTGGCCCAATTTATACTTACCGGTTGTTGACATCAGCGCCGAAACCTTCACGAAACTCTTCCTCACTCACTTCACAGCCCAGGACGTGGACTTGTTCCCCACTAAGGCAGAAACGAGCAGAAAATGTTGGAATAGTGGGTGCACGGGACTCCTTCCCAGGGAAGGACCGGAAGGCACGAGTGGGTAACTCACCAAAGAGCAGATTTCTTGATAAGTGCCTTCAGAAGACCACGTCCCTCCCACTCCACGGAATCTGGGAAGAGCCAAGACGAACGAGCACAGTGAGAAACTCCAGGTCTCCGACTTCATAATCTACCGCGACTTCCAGCCCTACCTGCGAGCCACTGCTCCTTGCAAGACAGCCGCCCCTTGATCCGGCCCCACCAGCCTCGGCTCTGCCCCTCACCTCGAAGAAGCACCAAGCCACCGAGGGCCAGCAGGGACTCCAGCATTTCTGACGCGTCCAGCGTCTTTCTGGACGCCTTTTGATGTCGTCACGGCCAAGGGGCGGGGCACTTATAATTGCTTCCACCATTAGGAGCTGGTAAAGTCTGGAATGAGAGGTGATTTAACATTCAGAAGTCTCGGTGGGGCTTACGCGGAGGGGCCGCTGCGGAACCTCGTGCACAGACGTAGATGACATCCCCAGTCTGCACTGAGGCCAGAAAGGCCGTTGGAACAGTTGTCAGTGGGCTGGGGCGAAGGGGGTCGCAAGAGCCACAATTCCCATGAAAGTCCGAACCTGCAGTCGAATGACGTCACTGGCCCCGCCTATATCATTGAAAGCTGGACCTCAGGCCCCGCCCCGCGACCTCCCTGCGCGCGTGCGCGACCCCGCATCCTTGTTCAGGGTACTCTGGGCTTTCCTTAACTCTACCCTCCCTCTTAAGATCGAATAGGGGGAACCTGAGTCCCGGGGAAGTGAATACACGTCACCACCGGAAGTATTGTCAGAGGGTGAAAAGGAGGAGGGAAGAGAGGAGGAGGGAGTCCTCTGGGCGGTAAAATGGCGCCTGTCAGAGTGGGAAACCCAGCTGCAGAGACTGCAGCTCCACTCCCCAGCGGCTAAGAGTCCCCCCGGGGAGGGGGACGCCACTCCGGCCCAGAGCTGCGCTCCCTTGGGCTCCCCCTCCCCTTCCTTCTCCGCTCCTGGGCTCGGCCGCCTGGCTCAGTCGCTGGGTACTCCGAGCGCCGCTGCCCCCGCCCGCCCCTTTCCTGGGGCAGACCCCTACCGCGCCTGCGCAGCGGGCCACCTTCGGCTTCCCCCCCTTCCCCTCCCATCTC